GTAACTCATCCTGGACAGTAGTTGTCGCCGCTTCTTCAGTCTGCTGCGAAATTTCAACGTAGACATCTTTTATTTTAATTGAAATATCAAGCTATAACTTGCACTGCATACTTGCTATTTCCTTAGTTCTTGTTACAACTTTGTGGCATAACTCATCCATTACGTCTCTCTTCTTAATCCCGACACTGTACAAATCTGAGTATAAGTCCCAGATAGCGGGACGTGCTTGAACATGGGGGGTGGAAACGTGGAGATACCAGTGACAGTCACATAGTGTGTGCCTGTGGATTGAGCTATTAGTGGCGGTCCCGTCGACAAATCGATTAAAATGTCCAAGGGATTCACAGCTACTGGGTAATGCCGAGGGGGCTCTTTATTTTTCTGTCACCAGAGTGGTCAAAGCTCATAGGAGATGCAAGAACATAACTACTACAGAACTCTACGCTGTGAGTCAGTGATAGTTGAAAGTCACCCCGCGCATCACTCTATTCTAGGTTATTGTGTCTTTCTAATATGTTTTCTGCAGGTCTCTTGGCTTATTAATTTGCATTTTCTTAGTTTCTTTGCCGGTAAATCTTTTTTTGTTGCCGCTGCTGTTATCACGTAAATTACGCGATTAGGTACGATGTATTTATATACTAGAAGTATTCAACGAAATATCTAAAATGTGAGTTCTTTAATTCATGTCTCTTTCCAGTCTTGAGCTTAGAGCTTGCCCTGGCTTGGGTTATGCTCTGATGAAAAAATATGTTTAAAGGGTAAATCTTTCTAGGCAATGTGTAGGCTAGGTATGCTAGGTCGGCGCTGGATCTCACGTTCCTACAGGGCGGCAATACCACCAACTCACGGAACATAACACGCTCTACACTTACAGGAATATTGGCTATAACAGTTGTCGTGTCCAGAAACACCACATCAGTCGGAAGACTAGTCAAGAACCTAGAGCTTATCCCGGCAAGGCAGGTGTCCCGCTGGGTAAGATGCATACAGAAGGAAACGCCTTCAAGCTAAAGTGTAGGTCAGCGTCGGATTTCACGTTCTACAGGGGGAGGCCGCTCGCCATCTCGCGGGATATATCATGCATCTCAGAAGTAAAAACCAATGCTGTGGACGCGCCCAGAAACACGATTTAATCATTGGTGCACCTAAGGGCAGGGGATCATGGGACTTCAGGGCCCCCACCCCCTCTCCAGAAGCCAATGATACACGTTAAAAAAATATAGAATTTTCTGTACTAACGAAAGTCATTCAATATATTATTTTGTACATTATAAATATTAGGTATAAGTCAACAAATCAAAATACAATTCACATTCAGCATACAGGAAAAATTGTTTACAAAAAAACATCAAGTACGTTGAACACTATACCCCCTCTTGAGAAACCTCCCGGGTGCGCGTCTACCTTCTGAAAGCGTTGACCGTGTACTTGATTCTCGTGACTTAATCTGACAAATCCACGTGCTAATTAATGTACCTACGTACCTCTTTTTAGTCAAACTTGAGACAAAATCTGTTCTGACGATACTTTCTACTACTTCTGAAGATATTTTTTGTAGTAAGAAAATGCGATCTTTCAAGTTCTTTGTCGTTTAATCATAATAAATAATTGATTCCTATGAATCGACGAATGGAGAGTGAGGGAGCGGGCGCACGGGCGGTTGCAGACGCGCAAGTACGAGGGCGTGTCGGCGGCGTCGCTGGGCGGCGCGGCGGGCGAGGGCGGCGCGGACCCGCTGGGCGCGCGCGGCGCGGGCGTGGGCGCGGAGTCGGCCGCCAGCTCCCCGGGCCGCTCCGAGGGCGCCGCGGCCGGCGGCCGCCTCGCCGCCTCCCCCCCGGGCCTCAGCTCCTGCTCGCTCGTCGACACCGGTGAGTACGCCCCCCGCTCCCCGCAGCGTGTGTACAACTCCACATCGAAGGCAATAACAAGTAATAACGTATCGGTAAAAAATGAAATTCATTTATTGCTGTAGCATCCATAGTTCTGTGCTTTTCTCACTCACTGGATCGTTGCTTTGTTATAAAGATAGCGTCTCCACTCAATATAGTATGTGGTATCTTCATATATGAAGTTGTGGTGAGTCTCCTTTGCAAGCTGGCTGCAGCGTAATCCTAGGAAGGCCACTCACTTCTGAGTAGTGGGTGACTTGATATTCCCTTAATCTTTGAAGGGAGGGGCATGGTCTGTTAATTGGTGAACAGAAGTACACGGGACATGATCTATTATTTTATTACACCTTTAACATTCACATTCTTCATGGATTAACATTTCAACTCATTCCTTGAATTCCGATCCAAATATTGGGCAAAAAAACTTGGTCTTTTAGAAGACACAAAGAATTGTGAAACGTTTCGAAGTTTTAAACGACACAGAAGTGGGAATTAATTTAAGACTTCAATGTAATTATAATAAAAGATGAAGTGCAGAAGCAGTATAATTTGCGAGTAGTTGCTAAATTACGGACATAATTCCCAGTCGCAATGAAATCTACCTTTTCAAAACGTTGACCGTGTACTTGATTCTCGAGACTAAATCTGACAAATCCACGTGCCAATTGCTGTACCGACGTACCGCTTTTTAGTAAAACTTTAGACATAAAGTCTGTTCTGACGTTACTACTTTCTATTTCTGAAGATACTTTTTTTTAATAAGAAAATGCAATCTTTCAAATTATTTATTGTTTAATTATAATCATAATTGATTCCTATGTAAACATGTTTTTGATCTATCCTAGTCCGTTGCGTTCACGCACATAAATAAGATTATGATTGCGTAACATAATGAACTTAATTCTGTGTTCATTTCATTTAAATGAACGTTCCATTTGAGGTTTCACTGAATTGAGAAACAAAAATACCTTTAATATCAGATAATTGCACATTCTTTATTTTCAATGGAATATTCAATTGTTTATTAGGAATAAAAACCTTAAAACCGTTTTCCTTTTCTCTTTCTGTTAATTTGCTATTACGGAACCAATTTGAAATATCTGATATTATAATATTTACTGTTCCGTTATTGCAAAAATACTTAATGCTAAGTTGCTACATAGAATGAAGTAATCGTGCTCCTTAATTAGTTATTATATGGTATATAACTATTATTATTATTTTACCTCTACATCACGACGAAAGATGTGAGTCAGCCGAATATAAAATCTACTCCAGGTTACAACCAGCTACCTAAGTAGCAGATGTAGAGTCTGTCGGTGCCTCTACATTTCTTTGCTCAAAATATGGGCTGTTCCAAATATAGCAATTTCTTGCACTTCCCATTCTTTTGAATGACCTGGGGGGTTAGCCAAGTTCTTAGTCAAATTTTGCGGAACATATCCCAGCTCCGATTACTATCGGTAGGACCTGTGCTTTTACGCCCCACAGTCGGCTGATCTCGATTTCCAAATATTTGCATTCAAGACGTTTTTGTGCTTCCTTGGTTACGACGTTTTGATCGCAAGGCACAGCAACACCTACAAGTAGACACGATTTTTTCTCCAAATTCCGGATAACAATATCTGCAATTTGTTTGCTGCTATCATTCGATCCGTTTGAATTTGTTGGTCGTACAATATGGTATAGAGTCCAACAGATGACACCGTTTTGGTGAGTGTTCGTACCACTTGGGGCTTGTATTTGAAACTTCGAGGGAGGTACAGATCTGCCAGTGGAGGTAACCCTGTCGTGTCTTTTCAAGTATTCAGTCTTTGCTGTAATTGAACAAGCTGAGATGATATGATCAATGGTTTCTACTTGTTCCTGGCAGATGCGGCATTTATCATATTTTATCATTTATTATTATTGTTATTATTATTGTTGTTGTTATTATTGTTATTGTTATTATTATTATTATTATTATTATAATGTATACTTCGTTGCCTACTACTTATCACGTAACGACACCCCTGGAAACGCAAGAGCGCGGGCGTTGGACGGCGACGCGCGCCGTCACGCTGTGCGCAGACGTTGTCGCGACTCACGGGCACGAGGGCCCCGGACAAGCCCGGATCGGCGACGAATTCAATGCGTCTGCCGAGGAGCTGGGCCCCGCTGGTCGCCGGTGGCCGCTGCCCCGGGACGACGACCGCGCCGGCCGCCGCCCCTCCCAGCGCCTCCGAGTTCCTCACGCTTGCCCCGCCGCCGCCCCGCCGCGCAGCCGCCGCTTCCCGCCACGCCGCGCGCAGCCGCCCGCCGAGCTGCCCGTGCTCTCGCAGGTGAGTGGGCGTGGCCGCCTCCGCGCATTCCAGTTCGGACCCTCTCTCCACACACTTGTTCAAGAAAACGACACTATTTTACAAAGAATTTCTTCTTGAGATGCCGAGAAAGTGCTTTGCCGAAGTGGGGCGGGTCCCGTGTCCACCAGGTTCCGTCCCTGCTTCAAAGGATGCCTTCGTTGAGAATGCCGATACGCAACACAACCAAATGGCCATCTCCCACCAAGTATCCCAAATTCATTTTTACTTGTACATCCTTTTTTTGACATGACTCGGCATCTTTTTGACACCATGAGCTGCGAGACGGGCAGAAATTACTCGTTGGCAGAATATCAGCGTCGTATCTTACGTTCCAGTAGAGTAGGAGTACCGCCACTGTTTGGAATATAACATGTACTACACTTACGACAACAATCACCTCTGTATATGATGCGCCTGGAAACAGAACTCACCCGTGTATGAAGGGACCACTTTGACAGGTCAGCAAACAAATTAACGCCATGCTGGGCGACGTTTTTTTAAGAGATAGTGAAAGCTATTTACAAATCAGCTAAGCGTAAACGAAAGCACTAAAAAAATGAGTGCGTCGTCATAACTTGCCGTCTTGTTGCCAGCAGTGTTGCAAGCAGCAGTTGTCAAAACGGTCCCTTCTTGTAGTAATCTCTGTACACCAACTCCGATCTCAAATTGCCCCGCCCTGCTTTCGTCACCACGTGCCGCCCGTTCGACGCAGGCAACGCTGCTGCCCGCCGCGGTGGCGTCCCCGCTGCGCCGCGGAGGCCCGCGCGTCATGGAGACGAGCTTCGTGGACCGCCGCAACCCGTTCCTGCCGTCGCCCGCCACGCCCGGCGCCGCCATGCCGCCGCCGCTCTCCCTCGCCAACGCCGCCGCCCCCGCCAACGTCGCCGGCGCCGCCGCCAACGCAGCCGCCATCACCACCACCACCACCACCGCCGCCGCCGCCGCCGTCGCTGCCGCCACCGCTGCCAACTCTTCGCCGGACGAACAGGTCGGTCTGCACTCCACGCAAATCTCGGACACGTTAAGGTCAGTTCACTGCATGGGTAGGTGATTTTTTTCTGTATGATTGAACACTTTCTTCGCGTAATGAAAAATACTACTCTATACCGTACAGATTAATATTCTAAGTATTGAACGAAGTAAATATTTTTCTAGTGTTATTCATGCTAATAAGTTCATTCCCAGTAATAACAACACGTTGTAGTGCCAGTCTGTGCATGCTAAAAAAACATGAATATGCACAGTCGTGTGTTTTGGTGGTACGTCACCATAATTCAATCATGTTAATACATCTTGAATAAAACCTCTGCATGTAGGTTAAATGTTCGTATTACAGGGCAGAGAGTACACTAAAATCCGATTTTCAAAAGTACCTCTCACAGGAAAAATATACGTGATGGAATGTTTTTCATTACAGTATCTGAATTTGTGATGAAAATTGCAATAGATTCACTATTTAAATTCCATATGAAAAAAATCATGTGGACGAGTACTATTAATTCATAATCGGAAGTCCAAAATATGTCGATTACTACTAAATTATTGTCATCACAACCGATCCCGGGTTTTCGTGGATATACTTGGCCGTAATACATGAGTGTGTTGCGGGTTGCCCTCCAAGTGAGCAAGATGGCTGAGTAGATACTTGACTACCCAGGAGACGCGTCCTAGCCACAGTAACCACGATTCGGCCGTCACTCCGCGACCTTCCTCAAGACAGAATGGGAAATTCGAAATTCATTTTACCCTGAAGAAGGTCGTAGTGTAGCGGCCGAAACGTTGGCAACTGTGCCTGGGACACCGTGTTTCCTCGACAGCCAAGAGTGTATTGACTCCAGCAGCGGAAGCGTACATTTTCAAGACGGCTGAGTACGTATGCAATCTGCGGCACACGAAATGCTGGTCATTACAAAGCTCCCATTGAAGCGTGAAAGGGCCACAATCGTACCGTGACCCATGAGCGCGCTGCGCGGCGTGCGTTGGAATTAACGTCCGTTTTCTGACGGGCAACGGACGTCAGATGTGCATGACGCACTTTGTACATGAACATGTGTTGCTCGTGACGCTTGTTGTAGCTTCAGTAGACAATCTTTGGTTGATGGCACACGGTCTGTGTTTCGACGGACGTTAGCCAAGTATCACAGAAAAATCGAAATATGGATAGAATGGACTCGGAATTACGTATCATAGAGGTGCAGAACTAACCGCTCTTATGATTCTCGAGAATTGGAGCTTAAAAAAAATATTAAAGAAAATACATGGCAGGAAATATGTGATATTTTTCCACATTGCAATCGAAAAAGATATGTGAAGAAAAATTATCACTGCAATCTGCCGAAGGGTGTGGAAGTTACTAAAAAATAACGTTTATTTTTAATAACGTATATAAAGTTTCACTTACATATAACCTGCAATTAGTGTTTCCATGTCATCCAAGTTTGTTTACGTATCGTGTGCCCGGCGCAAGTGCGGCGTAAGTCACGGGATTACACTTGCTAATCCTGGTGGAATAGCGTTTTCCGTTATTGTATTAGCGTAACATGGACGATCGCGCACGCGCAGAGCGGGTTAATAACATATTCGTCAAAGAACTTCACGCGGTGCAAAATCCACTTCTGATGGGCAACACGCGCGGCGTGTGCGCTGCGCAGGTCTGGACGGAGATCTCGCTGGCCGACTCCCCGGAGGACGCGAGCGGCGCGCCCACGTTCGCGCGCATGGGGCCCGAACGTGGGCGGGGCCGGCCGCGCGCCCCCGCCGCCCCCGCCGCCGCCCTCTTTCCTGCAGCGGCTTCCCCATCGCTGTTGCAAAACGCTTCCGCTCCGCCTCGCCCTCCTCTTCCCCCCGGCCGCGCCCCCGGCACCACCCCCGCCGCCGTCTCGGCTGCCGGCGGCGTCGCCGGCGCCACGCCCTCGCCGGCTAAGAAGCTGCTCTCGCAGGTACGAGCTCATTTTGTCTCGCTGTCCTTCCCACTTCTTCCTTCCTTAGCATTTCTTCTCCCTTCCCTTTTTCACACTCCTTCTATCTCATTTTTCGCTATCGTTCTTTCTCTCTTTCTCTCATTTCCCATTATTTTATTCCTCTCCCCCTTTCATTTTCTCGGTCCTTATGTCCCTTTTTATCTTCTTATTCCCAACTTCTTCCTTTCCTTCTTTTCTTCTTTGTCACCCTCTTTTCTTTCTTCCCAGACCGTCTTCCTATCGCCCTCCAGCCGTACCATTTCCACCTTTTGCCCCTTTCACTCCTCGTCTCATTTCTGACCCTTCGCTCCCTTCTTGTTTTCCACCTTTGATTTCCATTCTCTTCCCCAGGGTTTCTTTCCCATCTTCCTTTCTCGCTTCTTTCTTTTCTATTATCTTAGTTCCACCATGGAGAAACTAGGTCCCTAGGAGAAAATACGTATGTATTTGCGTATATTGTCCAGAAATAAAAATCTTGTATATGTAGACTTTTTAATTTATAATTCACATTAGATACCGAGAACATCTTGTTGTGAGTGGTGTCTTGTTAGCCATATCAGTAGTAAGGAATATAAATATTTTATTAAAAAATTATATATTTGATTGATGGTTTGATTCCTGAAATTTCAAAAACAAGGTTTCGAAAATGAAGCTCGGGTTGTTTCAAGAAAATTTTAAAATGTATTAATTTAAAAATTCCTTAGTTTTATTGAAATGGCAGTTAACAGTATTATTAAATAATTATTACTTTTCCCCATTCCCGATAAATTGATTGAAAAAAATTGCTTTTTTGATAAATATTGAAAATGGAATATGAATAAAGGTAATAAAGTTATCTTCAGAATTCGGGAGACCTCATGTTGAATCGTTGTTAGGAGATGAGAAGAAAAATCAATGTAAGGGACGATACAAAAAAATGTATGTAACCTGCCTTGATGTTTGTCCCGAGATCTTTGTTCCGACCGAAAAAAATTTATGATTCACAAATATACAGGAGAAATTTTCTGAACTCGTAACTCGATTTCAAGAGGGATTTCTTGTTCGACACAAGAAAGATGTGTGTCTAAATAAGTAAGTATATTCAGTATGCACGTACATTGCGTCCAAAACAGATATCAGGCTCTTTCACATTCGTCATAATATCACGTCCACGAACTACACCCATGTAGGCAAACCCCTCCAGAAGATATGTAGAAAAGTACACTGGGTCATAATTCACATAAAACACAGTATTCACCCTTCGTCCTAGAAACCACCATCATTCATTACCCTCCTTTCTTTTTAGAAACTGTAATCTTCAGAAGACTCAAGTTCTTAATAAAATGATGTTACATGTTCTCATGATTTTACCTTCTCATGTTCATTCGACGTTTTTGACAGAGCAAGGTAGCAGTCATTATATTGTTTTATTAACTAACATCTTCATGCAGTTACTACTAACAGTTTCTTGCCACTAAATATAATGACTAAATTATTACGTTTCGACTTTTGTTTGTACTCTTCAAGTATTGGCCTACATTTCTGTTTATTATGACTTCATTTCTGTTAATTTGTGAAAGGAGCAATATGCAAAAAATTATGTTCAATGTATTTTTATAAGAACTGTGTAACATGTATAGCTGTTTCAACTAGTACCTAGAGCATAGCATAGGTAATCGTAAAGGGTCGTAAGTCACCCAAAGAGGAGGACTCCATAATTTTCTTTATCTGCAAAACCAATGGTTTCTTCCAGATTTCAGAAAAATTAAGAACTGTAAAGACGAAGTTACCTTATAAATTTGCCACGAATCACTGGATATACCTTTTCATAGAAGTGAAGAGTTTTATCACCGCATCCGGCAGACTCAAAATACCTGTCTGAAGATTTATCAATGAAGTGTTCTTTCATTTATATTTGTAACTACGCACGAACTCATGAACATATCCAACCACCGTGCCCGAATGAATTATCTTTAACCTGTTGTATACGTTTATTCGTGGATTAATGCAAAAAAATAGTAATTTATATTATGAAGCTAGTAATTTAAATATCTATTCACATCCCTAGGTCTGTCTATGTCCCTGTGAATCTATAAACAATTTCCATTCATCTGGATTATAGAGAACACACAATTCACTTATTAACCCCTAATCTGCACAAAAACAAATAACACCTTCAAGAGCAGAATATTGGGCAAAGGTCTCGTATCTGTTTCTTAACTCCGAATTGGTCATTCCCAGCAGCAAGTAGTTTCCATTCCTGTAATCAGGAATCCTGTTTCTGCCTAGCAGAGTAGATTTTTTTCTCAATCATGTACGTCTTCCTACTCTATTATGTGCAGACCAGTGTCGGAATTTCCTGGTAAGTAGTGTGGATCTTTTGAAGTTGAGGCTTCTGTTTCTGGGCGAAACATGGCTTCAGTTTCATCTCAGTTTTCTTCATAATTTTATTGACCATGTTTCTAGGGGTACAGGCATTGGTAATTTGTCATTGTGTGACACAGGTCGCATGGTAAAAGAATTATGTGGATAATTGATCTAACAGGCCAAACATCTTTATCATGAGGAAGTATCAATCATTAAAATGGTTTGTTGGTATTATCCACAACATTGGTACAGATGACAATGATTTGAATTTTCCACACAACCACAACCTGCGGTTCTCTGTAGAGGTGACACATCACTGGTGAGCAGCCCATGGTTTGTCCTCATCACAAACATGACAGCCAAAGTATAAAGAATATGGAAGTTTTGTAATTTCATTTTTTTTTTTTTTTTTTTCCTTTGAAGTTTTGGGTGTAAATCTTCCACAAATGTAACAAACATTATCGTGTTGATTCGTACGCTTCCAATTTGAATTGACAATTTGCATTTCATTGAACCGATTCAATTCAACAGATCATGTGCTGTCATAAAACGTTATGTCATAAAACCTACAAAACTGTAATTAATGTTTTAATGTATTTGAGACACATGCAAATCAGACAACTTCACGCCCACTGTGGGTACAGTTCCAGATGACACCGACTGACTGAATCTGTTGCCCCTACATTTGTATACTTGTATACTTTTGATAAGGTAAGGGGCTAAAGTAATTCTTTTGGTGACTGATGCGCAGTAGGAAATATGAGGGTATGCATGACTTGTTACCAAAACATCCACTAAGGCCTGTTAAGACCAATAAGACCTACTCATAATTTAGCTCAACTACCAAACGTCAGAATAAAGATGATAATTTTTGAAGGCAGAAGGTAAAAACAAACAAACAAAAAACATGAAAGCCTGATTTTGTTGATATCTCATGAAAGTGGCATAGTTGAACTGAACAAATATTTTATTTTGAAATAGATTTTATGCGAATTGATTCTACATATCTTCCAGGTGCAATTTTAATGTTTTGCAGTAATAGCAAAATATGGTATGATATGGTTTACTTAAAAACTGTGAGTAGTATGACATTTTTATTGGGATATTTATAGTCTATGTATAAAATTGAGTGCATTGTGTTCCCTAACTTCCTGGTAAAAATTGTGTTCCCTAGTGTGATTTCAAAGTCAGAGGTATTACTTTATAATTTTGCCTTATTAAATTGTAAAGATTCGTTACTTCATGATTATTTTTAATTAAAATTTAAACTTGTTCTTATCTTCTTGTCTATTTTAGAACTACTCACTTTGTCAGAGTGAATCAAACTTAAATCTTATTTTAAAACAATGATTGCAGGCTTGGTCAGAAATTGGTCTTGGTCGCGATGATTCAACTGCTACATCTACAACACCAGCCAGCAGCAATTCGACTCCATCTCATACAGGACTCTTTCGAGCAATGTCAACTGCTGGAACAGGAGGTTCTCCTGCTCGAACTCGTTTGGATGGTTGGATGTCTGCAGATCGAAGACAGTCACTAGATACTGCCCTGTGGGCTGGTCCTGCAACTGAAAGAGTGAAGGAATTATTGTCTCATGGAATGATGATGCTGAATATCTCTGCTTTGAGTGAACGACGTGGCTCAGAACCAAGGAGTGGAGATATTGTAGAAGGAACTTCTAGAGGTTGGTACTAGTAATGATAGGCAATCAAATACACATCTATATCATTCAAGTACACATCTGTATCAATCTGCATTTTATATGAATTCATGCAATAGATCAGTGTTTATGGAGTAATAAAATGTATAGACCTGTTAGCACTGATCTTCAGGATGTCTTCAAATGTGTAATATTGCGAAATACTTGAAAAGCCAGAGAAGAGCTTGAGAATTTGAATAAAAGTTAAAGAAAAATGTTTCTTAATAAACAACCAGATGTTGGGTGTTTTGAAATTCAATATTTGTTATGCAACATAATATGATTCATAATTCTTGTGTATTAAAAGTAAGAGATTTTTATTAGGTTGTGAGATATGTGTGATGGAAATGTCATTCAATAATTTTCATTTGTTTCCCACATTTCATATTCTCACATATCCACGTTCCCACATTCTCACATTCCCACATTCCCACATTCCCACATTCCCATATTCATTAGTTGCATCTTCTATTTGAGAAATTATGTGATGTGTCATGTCATCTCCAGTTCTGTATGTCTTTATCTTTGAATAAAAAATAATACTGAAATTAATTATTAACCACGTATTATAAAAATATTATTTAAATGGGTGGATAATTTTTTTAAGACCAACGGTTTATGGACCAATATAAACAAAAAGTCCTATATTAACTTTTTTAAACTTGTATTTGGAACCTGTGTGAGAAAATTAAATATGTGAAAATGTTTTTTGTTTTATTATTGTGATTTGTTTTACAGTAACTGTTCTAATTTAAAATAAACAGCCCATTTTCTTTCTATAACACATTGTTTTCAATGATCTTTGAAATCAAATTTTTGGAATCATAAGTAGTCATTGACATTGTTGCACCTTCTTCATGTTGTGGAACGTGATGTCTTGTCATAACGTGATGAGTTTCTTCTTATTCTAGCATACATGAATGGAACCTAGAAGTAGTTTTACTTCCTTTATATTTACTCTTGGAAAGCATAATTTTTCATTGTGCAGTGTCATATTAAAAACATTAACGAATAATTTACATTAACATTAATACCATAGGTCATGTATACCAATTGCTTACATGAAAACCAATATTAACCTAAATAAAAATTTTCAAATTTATAAGTATCCAAAACATGAATAAATAAAACTTATTTTAAGATCTTAGAAACTAAAATTTCATGGCTTATTCATAATACATTTCAAGTCATATTTTTTCCTTTTAATTTAAAAATCATTGTATCCAAAGTACATCTTGAATTTGACAACTGTCAGTCATGATGTAACTGGCTTTGTTGTTGCACATAAGGATCAATTAAATAATGAAGAAAGGTTTTTATAACATGAGGTTTTATGATATAATATTCTTATAATGTTTTGACTTATAAAATAGTTATTAAGAATTTTAAGTGAACCTTAATGTACAAATTTTAGAATCGTGGTTTTAAATTAGTTATATAAAAGTAGACTACAGATCTCTTTTTGCATCAAAATACTAAAGTCTGGTTTTTTGTTCAAAAAAGTAAGGAAATCAGTATGCAGTGTGTTACAAAATTATGATTTTACACAAATATCTTTTAAGAATTCATACACTCTCTAATACAAACACTGTAAATATCATGTATTGTAGTATATATGGTAATCTATTTGTTTTTTGAAATATATATTAATATTTATAGGTAGTCGCCCAGGAAGTGCTGCCAAAAAAGTACCATCTCCATTGGAAAAGTCTCTCTGCTACCTCACAGCAGAAGATGATTCAACATCTGATAGTGAAAGCCTAGCTAGGTGAGGATTCTCAATTATAAAATATCTATCTATACATTCTTTCTCATTAGATCATGTGAAATGTAAATGTATAGTAGATATGTATACAGAGTGGTTTAGAATAAATACCATATAACCAAGGTATAATTGTGATATTTCCCTCATTGGAAGCCAACTCATCCTGCAATGGTGTTCAGATGTACATGTTCTCAGAGTGCAACTAATCTACTAGCTACTACAACATACATGTCTTTATCATTCGGCTGTGACTGCATCAGAACATGAATTGCCATTACTATGCATTCATCAAACTTCATGAGTGTTGCTTTGAGAAATTAGTGCAGTCAGAGCAGGACAGCAAATGCAAAAACTCAATATTGACATTGAGAGTGCACAGTTTGTCTCCTGAGGGTTAGTGTACTTGCCAAACGGTAGTGTATGATATGTTATCTACTAATCAGGAGCACCATGTCAGAAATATTACTTGTGTAACTTGGTTGTATGAGATTTCTTAGCACATGTTCATTGGCAAAGAGTAATTACCCCCCCCCGAAATTTGTAACATTTATTTGGAACCATTGTACATATTATATGATGATCAAATACAAGAACTACAATTTATTTTTTTCATTCATTTCTGTTTATAATCACTATAATATAGATAATTTGCACTCCTTGGTAGGTGAACAGTTATGGATTATTCAAAAATACAGCATGCAGGTTTGATCCCTGCCAAGGGAAGTGGACATTCCCAATACCAGGAAATTGCAGAAGTAATGGGTTAACGCCAGTAAGACTATTGTTATGCCAATCCTCGGTGGAAAATGAGAAATTGAAAATTAGTTAGTTACATATAAAATAGTATCAAATAAGAAATTCCCAGCCATTCACTGTGTGTCACGGATATGATGTTGGATCAGTTGGCAAGAGCTCAGTTGTTAAAAATAATAACTTTGAGTTTTAGAAAAGGATCACATATATGAAATGTGAAACTCATATTGTTCTGCAATCATCTTTGTCACTTTTAAGTCTTTTACTATTGTCAAAATTAAATAAGTACTTAAATTTGGACTCGGTAACCTTTACATTATTAAAGAGAAATGAATTGAAACAAAGTATTTTTAAAGTTATGGTTTAAGTGAGTGTGAGTAATTGTTTTCCTCCTATAATTGGTTTTATTATTGTTTCCTTTCTTCTTTCTTGTAGTGTTGAGATGCTTACGGATGAGCAGATTCTTTCTTTAATGTTGGATCAAGAGCAGCAATGTGAAGAGGTACTTGGAACACCACTGTCTGAAGTTGCACCACTTCCTCCTCCCCCTCCCGTCTCTACTGCTAGTGCCAGTCCAGTTGTCTCCGATGCTCCCCTCCCAGCACCACCTACATCACATATGCCTCAACTTCAGTGAGTGCAAAGGTTGCAGCCCTCCTGGCTTCTTGCTGCAGCTTGCATTCTGCCAGATGAAGACTAGGCCAGGGCTGCCAATTTCTCTTGTGATTTTTCTCCGTTTGGGTTTTCCATTCTCATCTAAAATACTGCATTGATATGTTGTGCCTGTGTCTTCTCAGTTAAGAAGATTGCCAAACACCTGAGGTAGCATTTGAGAGGTTTGATGTTATAGAAATATTAGCAGTTTTGAACACTTAGGACAAAATTACAGTGAAAAATGTCATTACGAAATATTAAATTGTTATTTTCATCTGTGTGGTTACATTGATCAACTCTTCTCGTATTCTTGTCTCGTGTCTTGTACTAATTTCTGACACAAATAATGAGGAATTAAATCGGCATTAGATGCTGGAAAATAGACTAGACACCCTGTCAGATCCAGATGTCTTAATAGTTACAAAATGGTACCATGAATATTATTTAGTAGGGAGAAGTAGATAAAAAATCATATGGCATATGTATGTGGGTTTAAGATTTTTGAACACAATGTAATTTCTATTCATTATTTTTTTAATTAATATTATTTAGAAATGCCAATTTCTTTTCCAATTCTGTTTAGACAAGGATATATGTATTTGTGTATTTATTTGGTTACATTTATGGAAAGATAAAATAAGTCTCCTACTTGCCCAGAAACAAATTGAAAATATATTGAAAACACTGCAACTCATCTCATTTTTCCATAAGGTTAAATACAAGGTCTCAATTTTGAATTCCTACAGTCTTAGTCATATTAATTTAATAGAATGCCTAGAAATAAACAATAACAATGTGTATATAAAATATGGAAAAATGTTTGAATACAAGTTGTTTGTTGTTATCTGCAGAACCATTACTTGATATACCTGAACATTGATAATTCATAACAAATGTATTATATTTACTATAGTATTCACAGAGTAAATATTGATTTATAATTATTATTATTTAATTAATATTGATTAAATGCATCTAACCTAAAAAAAAATACTTTCATTATTTAAAAATAAATTTTCTGAAACCCAATTGGGTGAATTATTTGAAACACAAGATTAATTCTTGTTATTGATCAGCTATTATTTGACAAATATTTATTTCTGCTAATAAAAATAAATGATTTGGAAACAATTTAAATTTAAAAAATAGTCATATTTTAAACGTTAAATATTGATTTCTTTGTGTTCTCCATAATGTTGTTTAATATAAATATTAACTTGCAAATATGTCATTAATTTTTAATTATCTCCCTTCCTGTGTATAAGGGACTGAAATGTTCTTCATACCTTACATTGTCTGTACGTCACATGATTTACAAAAAGTAAATTGAAAGCAAGAAGTCTCTAATCATGTTGCAAAAGTGAAATATGTCAATACAAATTATACATTAAGACTTGTGACAATAAGGAGAACAAATTATCTTTGACAGAGAGTATGCAATATAATCTGTGACTATTCTGACCGTTAAAAAATTTGCTTCCTTGAAGTCCTTAAAATCTATGTGAATATGTAGTTAGTGTAGGAGAATGCTTCAGTATCAGGACAATGGATTGAATCAGAGTTAAAGATGAAGTTAAAATTGGTATGTGTGCAATTTCTGAATGAAGTACTGAAGAATAACTACTTGTTGCTATCGTCTACACTATCTTTTGTGCAGTACTTTCTAATTTCTCATGTCAATGTGCCTTCACTATTGAGAGGCGTAGACAAGTTAAGTGAATTTTGTCCCCTGTATTTTCTTACATGAGGCACTTGATATATTGGTGATATTGGGGTCAAGGCTATAAATTAATGATAGAAGAAAAGGCATGTCTACATGTCTTGTGATAGACCAGAAAAAGAGTATAGGTCTTACAAGAATTTAGTGATGGGTTAGCATGGTGTAGATTAAACTGTCTGAAGGAGTTGTAAATTTGTTTTAATTGTGTTGCTTTGTGATCAGAACTATCTAATGAAGAAATCTCCTTGTAAATAGATCCTGGGACTGCAAATCAATCACAAATTTGAAAATAATTGCTTCACCTTTTATGTATTAAAACACTAAAATAAATGGGGATCGTGCAGCTACCAGATATTTTACCAACAAAATCTTATTCATTGTTTTTGCGATTCCCATAAAGGTACATTTTTCTCTTTTAGAGATATTCAATGTGATATATTTTGTTAATAAATGAATGAAGTGCCATTAGTGCAAATGAGTCTTTTAACAAGCAAGCTAAAGGCTATTTTGTGATAAAATAAAAAAATAGTATTATAAATTTTCCCTTGTTTAATTTCTAATTCTTACACCAGATCACAAAACATGTTAATTTATAGAATTGATTTGCAATAGACATGTATATATAACATATTTCCCAATTTTGAACAATAAGATGGGATGGAGCTGAACTTTTATTCTGAAGATCAAAACATAAATGACGAAAAACAAAAAGACTGAGGAACATGCAAAGATGCAAGTGAAATTGTATTGTAATTTGTTGTCTAATATAATTACCTATTTAATTTTCCTCATCAGATCTCAGTTCTGCTAGCATGTTCCAGAATACTTGCTTCATGAGCTGAATTCTCCATTTGTATGGTTCTCTTCTTTCATGAAACCTGACCAGTTTAGCCCGGAAAAGAATGACGTAAACTGTCCTACCACATTGTTCATAACTTCTAATTGGGAAGGTATAACAAATCACTTGGTATGAAATATGATTGTAGATCATAATCCTATTGACTTAGCTTTGAAAGAGGCTTAAATACATGATGCCTTCCAAAGTGGGTGTATGAACAAAACTGTGTACATATCAGAAGATATTTGGAAGAAATAAACTTGCCATTTGTCAGTTTGGTGTATTTTGAAGCTTTTAGTAGGTTGGTGAGGTGGTGGTAGTAGTAGTAGTAGTAGTAGTAGTAGTAGTAGTAGTAATGATGAAGTTGCAAATGCAAATGCTCTTTATTTTCTTCCATAGAGCAGATGTAGTGCAGTGCTTAGGCTTTTAATTATAAAATATAATTTATTGATCAATACTACAACCTTTTAATATCAGAGGACCATTTTATTACATGCATTTGTAATGAAATGATCTTGTCTTCTAAGGCTGACTCTTCTACTAATTAGATTCTTACCAGACGGTGAGATATAGATGGTGTCTGACAATGTTCTAAACATATTTTAGTAACTTGAAATTATTCTGCAAGTTAGTTAATGTTTTACATCAAACCTTCATTTATATGTTAGAAAATATACAAAAATATGTTCCCTTTTGATTTAAGTGTGAAGTACAAAGATATTTTGTTTCTTTCTATATTTCTGAAACAATTTTCTTATTTTAATGGTATAGTAAATTAATAGATTGTGAACTATGAATGTCCAATTTGAGCTTACTTATTTAAAATATGTAGCTCATTAAAACCCCTAATTCATATTTATTATGTATGTTATTTTCAATTTTTAAGAATTATTTAAATATGTGAATTAAAGAATTAGTTCTATCTTTTCAGATACCAACCTGTATTTACTTACAATAATTTTTGTTCTTCACCTGTCAATCTGAAAACAAATTGTTCATAGCAATTGTTGAGAATTACTTATATTTACGAAAAGATATGAAGAGAGACTTTTTATCCTATTGTTGGGTAATAATACAGCCTTTACTGAAGTTTCTAGAATTGTATTACTTCAGTTGAATTTTTATTTATAGTTACAAAATACATAAATAAATGTAACGAGAAGTTACATATTGATAAAACACACAATAAAAATTAACTTTGGTATCTATTCTGGAATAGATTTTGTTATGTATTACTATTAGGTAATACATTATCTTTTGTATCTGTCTTTTGGTGAGAGTTGATTTAATGGAATTGATATTTGTGTGATTATAACAGTTTCAGTAATTAATTGTTATAAACTTACATGTCTTTTACCCTTTTATGTCAGTTGCAATGACTTTGCTTGGACTGTATCTATTTTTAATCCTAGGAAATAATCACCACTAAAAATACAGTTGAGAATGCAATTCAGGATCATATAGAGTTAATTAGACTCTATTAGAGTTTATTTTGCATGTATTATTATAATTTTTTTATGATTTTGTTTTCGTCTTGTAATTTGAAGAACATTAGATGTTATCTTCTGGCAGAGAAGCACAGGTTTTTTGGCAGTTATTTATATTTCTCAAATGTTCTAATTTTTGTCAATATAACAATTGTCACGATCCCTACCTCTGTAAAGTTCTGCCTGTATTGGGCTGTGATATATCAAGCAATAGAGTGGTAAAACTCCTTTCATTGGCCAGGAAACTCCATGATTACTCAGTCCACATTTGCATGAAGTTTATTGTTGATGTATTTTCATTGGTTTTCTGAATTGTTGGTTTTAGTTATTTGTATGCAGTGTAAGGCCATTTATTTTCCTTTACTGAGGTTGTTACTTTTTACGTGAAAATGTTCTTACTGAATTCTGGTAGATGTTTTCAAGATTTTACTGAAATTTATTAGCTTGTAAGTATATTTCACTATTGGAAGCTTGTTACAGACTTTTCATGCTACATTTCTTCTGAAAATTGTGTATGCAGTGTAAATATTTCTCCCAAAATTTGTATCAATAACACAGCATAATGAAAAGATGTCTGCTTGGAAATTGTAGTTAATCTTTGCTTCATGGAGTTAAATAGTTTAGAGATTATATGTAACAGATTTTGGAATTCTGTTCCAATTCATCTACCTGGGTTCAGTTGGTTCATTAGATGTGTATATAAATATTCTGTTGCACAACGAAAGCTATTTGTTATGATATATTGGATTGTTTGCTTCCCTCTAACAAGTTTTACAATCTAAAACATGATTGTAGTGTACATAAGATATCAACTGCTTCACTGGGAGAATGTAAATTGTGTGTAAGCAAATTCTCTTTTAGAAAAATCTTGTATATAAGAAATTCATCAATAAATTTTCAGGCTTTTAATACTCATTGGTTAGATCAGATAACATGTACAAAATCTCTCAAAGCCTCACTTCTGAACATAGGAAATATGTGGGTAAACGCTGTGATGACCTCCAAATTTTGCCAAAGTATACATATGGTGTGATTTGCCCATACAAGTACATACTTCCACCTAGTTTTTCATCATTCATGAATATGTATCATTAAAATAGTTTATTTTATGTGAAGTGAGCATTTAAAATTCTTCTTTGTGGTTTCTCTTTCCTTGCTCTCTTTAAAGTCTTTTAATAATGGATTTTTACAAATACATATAAAATCTATATTTTAAAAAAGTTTTGTACATGTTACCTTCCAAGGAGTTTCTATTGCCTGAATTTAGCACACAAGGAACATTGTGTTAGTTAAGTTTACGAATACATGTATAGTACATATGGTAGAATAACAAAGAAGTTACCAAAAATGTGACAAAAAGAGGGTGTTACCTGCTAATGTTTTTGTTATTGCTGGGTTCCCAAGAGTAATATTTATTTTTCTATGAAGATTGTTATTATAATGAATATATCATTTTATAAAGGTATGCAATCAAATATATGAACATATGTGATGACACATGAAACATATTCCATTATTTATTTTCTCTTGTTGACTTCACTAAGCCTCACACATTTAATTGTTGTAAACATTGTTGTCTTCTATGTAAATAACAATGAAATAATTTTATGCTCTTTCACATTTTAATCCCCTTTCTTTAACAGAAGTAAAAAAGTATCTAGTCTTATTTTTTTAATGGTATTTGGTCTGAATAATAGTTATTTAGTAATTATCAATTTTTTGTGTTGTAATTGTAAATATTTATACAAACAAAATTCCTTTTGTGATTCATCAAAAGAATACATTACTTTTTAAGATATGCAAATTGTTTCTTAACAATAGTCATGGACAAATTCATATCCTGTATTTATTATAAAAATCTGAAGTTCTTGCTAAACCAAACATTCATTTGATGTTCTTTTGTTTTGTTTTAATTGCATTTTTATTAAAAAAAGTAATTTTTTCACAGAAACCAGTGGAAACGTATTTTTCTTCAAAAAAATTGTTCAACCAATTCAATAAAATTACACCATATAATGTGACCATGTGTAGTATGTTAAATGAATATTAAAGT